GGATGCAACTCCTTACTGCTATTTAACATCCTTGTCTCAAATAAGAGAGTTGATAATTATATATTAAAGTCTTTTAGAGCCCTCTTGTTTGAGTCCTTTTCTGAATATGAACACAATGACAGAAAACAAGCTGGTGAATTTTGTGTCTGATTTGTGGTGTTTCCTTTATTGAAAATTTAAGTCCAATAAATACATCCTTTTCGGTACACCATGTATCATTAAAGGGTGTGGTAAATAGCTCTACTGAAGCTTTTCTCTTAATAATATGTCCAACATACTGCCAAGGTAGATCACCATGGAAACTTTTGTTGAGTGCTACACAATAGTAGGCAGATAAATGAAATTGTAATGAAAAATTGAGGCTAATGTCCTTGGACTTAACCCTATGGCTGTTGAAGACAATGGATGTCTTTACAGAGCTGATAATAAGTATGGGCCCTGTGTCAAAGAATCATAAAGAAACAGAACTGGAAAGGACCTTGAGAGTGCAACCCCCTCTTCAAAGTCTGATTACCTCTTTTCTAAACCACTCATTTCTATTGTTTGTTTCTCCTGCAGTTAAAACCTGCCAGTGATGGAGATGCCAGAAATATCCTGTGCCCAGAGAAAATTCCACTGGAGATGTGATTGATTACTGCTTTTTAGTTTTCCTCCCCTCACATTGTGAATCCTCCCTTCCCTTCAGGACCTAGACTTCCTTGTCACACTAGAGGCTCTAGGATTCTATACAGAAAACAGTCTTCACACAGGTTTCTAGACCTGCCAAAGCCTATGGTAGTCAGTGGAGCCTACCCCAGTGAAAGACAGCAACCTAGAGCTGGAATTAAAATGTCTACAGATTTGTATGAATGTATAAATATTCATAAACTCTTCTGAAAGTTGAATGGGAAGCGATCACTGTTGAAACATTTATTTTTCAATATTGTAAAATGAAAAAAAAAAAAATTATCCTGTGAAATATATTTGAAAAATGCTACTAATGAGCACTTAGGTCACTAAGAAGCCCACAGTAGAGACAGTTCAGGGGATATTATGGCCGCTACAACAAACAAGGATTTTTCTGTGGCTTGGTCACATCTTTGCTGTACTTGCCCAAGGGAAAATGTGTTTGTAAATGAAATAAGTCGGTAGGGATTTTTCTTTTTTGTTTTTCCTCAAAATATAAACTGTAAGGTATTAGGCTGATGGGCTGAAGATTTTTATGGAAAAATACATCACACAAAGGATGTAATAAATTATCAGTGTGATATTTCAGTGCAATGGCATATTTAAGGTGGTGTCAGCATTTCCATTATAAACACTATTTTTCAGAGGTTTATAACCTAGCCATAAACTTTTTCTCCTGCCTGAAATGCAGCACTATACACCATCTCTGCCAGGTCAAAAATCTTTTTTCTATTTAAAATTTGAGCAATAAATTTGTTTGTGAGAAGCAGGTGCAAGACTCGTACCACTATCAAGCAGGCACTTTTTATATGTACCTTTAACTTACCATATGTTGCTTGGCACATAATGTAAGTGCAGCTGCTACCATGTTGACCAGGCATGAACTGTACAGTACAGATGACTTTTGTTCTGAAGTGTGATTAGTGATAGGAACACTTGTAATTATTATTGCTATTATTGCACAAGTATGGAGAAGTCCCTCAAAGATTGGTCTCTGTTGCAGTGGGTACATTACTAATAGTTTCATAGTTTCTAGGGTCGGAAGGGACCTGAGCAGATCATCTAGTCCGACCCCCTGCCATGGCAGGAAGAGCACTGGGGTCAAATGACCCCAGTAAGGTGGTCATCCAACCTCCTCTTAAAAACCCCCAGGGTGGGAGCCTGCACCACCTCACTTGGAAGCTGGTTCCAGACTCTAGCCGCCCTGACCGTGAAGTAGCGCCTCCTGATGTCCAACTTAAACCTTCCCTCCGCCAGCTTGTGACCATTGTTCCTGGTCACTCCTTGCGGCGCTCGGGGGAACAGGGACTCCCCCAGCGCCTGCTGATCCCCCCTAACCAGTTTATAACAGGCCACAAGATCCCCCCTCAGCCTTCTCTTTTGAAGGCTGAACAGGTTCAGGTCCCGCAACCTTTCCTCATAGGACCTACCCTGCTGTCCCTTGATCATATGAGTGGCCCTCCTCTGGACCCTCTCGATGCTGTCCACATCCCTCTTAAAGTGCGGCGCCCAGAACTGGACGCAGTACTCCAGCTGCGGCCTGACCAGTGCCGCATAGAGGGGGAGGATCACCTCCTTGGACCTGCTCGAGATGCATCTGTGGATGCACGACAAGGTGCAGTTGGCCTTCCTAGCCGCCTCCCCACATTGCCGACTCATGTTCATCTTGGAGTCAATAATGACTCCCAGATCCTTTTCCACCTCCGTGCTGACAAGAGGGGAGTTCCCCAGCCTGTATGTATGGTGCCGATTGTTCCTCCCCAGGTGCATCACCTTACACTTGTCTGTGTTAAACCCCATCCTGTTCTCCTCCGCCCATCCTTGTAACCTGTCTAGGTCCAACTGTAGCCTGTTGCTCCCCTCTATTGTGCCCACATCCCCCCACATCTTAGTGTCATCAGCAAACTTGAACAGGGTGCTTTGCACCCCCTCATCCAAATCACTGATGAAGATATTGAACAGGGCGGGCCCAAGGACCGAGCCCTGTGGGACCCCACTTCCCACGTCCTTCCAGGTCGAGAAGGACCCATCCACTACCACCCTCTGGGTGCGACTCTCTAACCAGTTGGCGACACATTGGACTGTATGGGTGTCTACGCCACAGTCCCCCAGCTTCGTAATGAGAATGGGGTGAGAGACAGTGTCAAAAGCCTTCCTGAAGTCCAGGAAAACTATATCCACTGCCACTCCTGCATCCAATGATTTAGTCCACCTTTAGATGGAAGTTCTGTGTCCTTAAATTTTACATCCTCGTTAGCTAGGACAGACAAGTAAAGGCTGAGAGACAGAAAATATTATTCTTTTTTTACAGATAAATGAGTGAGGCACAAGACTACATGGTGCTGTTATAATCAGTGGCCAACTCTCCATTGGCTTCAGTAGAGTCATACAAAGACATTACTACTCTAAAGAGCAGATTTTTTGGTGTAAAGAGTCAACTTAAACCTTTGAGATTTTGTGATGTGTGTATAATTAGATAATAGGGGGTGCGAAGTGGGCCCTATTTGATTTGGATTCCGATTTGGTCCAAATCCGAGACAGTGATTCGATTTGCTGATTTGGATCACAGTCCCTGATTCAAATCGGCCAAATCCAGATCTGAAGATTTGAGGCTGATTCAGACATAGACACAGCTTTAAATGTTTTTCTACATACCTCGAGGTACCAGCATGGCTCATGAATGCTGTGATGCTGGGGCGGATACAGTGTCCCACAGGAGTGTGCCCCCCTCCCCACATGCTGGGTGGTAAGCCTGGAAGTGGACTAGAAGTACTTCCAGTCCACTTCCAGGTCCACCAGGGAGTGCATTGAAGGGCCTCACTGCCATCCGCAGCTCAGTGATTGGCTGAGGGGGTCCCTGGGTACCCCCCTGACCCAGAAGGCACCAGTCGCTGAGCCAGCAGGGTGCGGGGGGGGGGCCTGGCACGCTCTCTGGTGAACCCGGAAGTGGACCGGAAGTGCTTCTGGTCCACTTCTGGGTCTGCTGCTGAGCACGCTAGGGAGCCCCCCATGCTTCTGTGGGACGCTCCATCTGCCCCAGCATTGCAGTATTCACAAGCCGCCTGCTACCTAGAGGTATATAGGAAAAACATTTAAAGCTGTGTCTATGTCTGAATCGCTGAATCATTCCGAATCGATTTGGAGAGATTAAAGGGTCCTCTGATTCAATTCAGATTTGGAGATTCAGCAGCTGAATCAGGCTGAATCTCCACCGAATTGAATCAGGGACTGAAGGTTCACACAGACCTATTAGATAATAATGGTAAAATACTTAAATTGTCATTCCACAGAACTAACTCATTAGATAAAAATATTCATCTACATTTTTAGCCAATTTTCTGGTGTCATCATAACACAGCAGCTAGTAAAACCACTTTGCTATAGCAATCACATGATTTTTATCCATCTTCTCTAACGGAAAGCCATCAGCTTCATACCACCAGTCCAAATCAGTTCCCACTACTTAATGCACTTTAGAAAGAGACAGGTCATCGTTGTGTGGGATTTACCTGAGTGGAGCCTACCAGGAATTCATGGTGTTCATGTGGGTTTGGCTTAAAATTCAAAAGACAGATTTAGAGAGAGATTTTCTGGTGTTCTAATTTGAGTAATTTGCATAGGTGGTGACAGCTTTTAGGAAGTATTTTGCAAAGGAATACAATGTCATAAAAACACATACAAACAAGGTGGAAATTGGAGGAATTGGAAACTTCAGCATAGGCAATGAATGTTTTCTTCAGTGCAGCATCTGATTCTAGCAGGCACCTCTCTTTCTAATGATAATGTTTTAAGAACATTGAGGAGGAACAATCAAGTAAAAAATGCATTGTGTGCATTAAGATGATTTTGGCTATCTGTTTGCAGAGGAAAGAAGAGGATGAAATGCTGGCTTCAACAAAGTCAATGGCAAAACTCCCGTTGATTTCAACAGAGTCACAGTTTCACTTTCAGTAGTTCTTACTGAAGAAAAAGTATCTTTCTTTCATTTTAAAGTACAAAGTTTTTAATTCTGATAAAAATTATTAGGCGTTATGGACTTGATCCAGCAAAGCACTTAACCTTATGCTTAACTTTTAGCCCTTAGGAGTTGTGCCTTCAGTAGGATCAGGATCAAACTCTTTGTATCTATCTGTAGAAACAAATTAAATTCTTCCAGGCTTTTCTAGCCTTTTCATATCAATTCAAGCCAAAGTTTCATACATGAAGAGCCTGAACCAAAGCACATTAAATGTGCTCCCGCTAACTTTAATGGAGGTGGAGTCAGGGTCTTTGCTTGTCTAAACTGTATGACATTGTTTTGCATGTTTTCAGAAAAGAAAACTTAGTTCACTCACCACTGCCAAAGCAAAGAATATGGAGCTATAGATGAGGCTAATTGGAAGTGAGAGCTCAGATCCAGGTAGATGTTTGCTTCTTCCCAAATGCTTGCTATGATTCTGTTGTTTGGGATTTTCATACACCAACAGTTAATCATTCCAAGCAGGAAAAAAATTGTCTCAAGGGTTTGCAGTATACTGAACATGTGTTTCATTCATCTGGTTTAGCATAATTTCACATAATCACACATTCCATTTGAATAGTACTTTCAGATCAGAATCTGATAAATTCTCCCATTTTGTTACTGTGTCTCTTTGAGGAATAAAGAGTGTCTGTTTATATACGCTGCCCTCTCTGGCGTTCATTTTATGATCCTTGTATTTATGATCTCTGTAACGCTGATATGATGATTGAGCTAACATTTTTGGCCCCATTCCAGCAAGCAGATCTGTGATTACACTGAAGTGCCATGTCTGCCTAAGGAGATCAGATTGGGGATTTATGTTATACTACTTTCTGCCTGTCAACAGAGCTAATTAGCCCAGCCCCAGCAGTTACGCTGCTCCCCATTTGGAAGGGAGCACATATGGAACAGCTCAGTGTGTTGCACAATGAAACCATCTGGCACAGAAAGGTAAGGGTATGGGAGTACAGGCCACTCTGAGATGAATGTTTTATTTACTTTTTAATGGGCCTTTATTTCTTCGGTGCATTAGAAGAACACGCTTTACATATCACAATCCTGAGAACTGAGAAACTCTATGGTGTTATTAGATGACTCTCCATTCTTAATTAAAGCACTAATGAATTATGATAGGTATAAAAGTGAAGACCAATCCTCATCTGGTTTCTTGAGGTACAAACAAGAGAACAAACAAACATGAGTATTTTTACCACAAGTTAAACAGATGTTCAGCATAGCCAAGTGCAAGCATTTTTGGAAAGCACAGGGAAATCATTACTTAAAAACAGAAGTAGAAGGGCCCAGACAGCAAAGATAATCTTGCAGACTACACCTATACGGCCCTCTCTATTTTCTAAATTTATAAGGCCTTCTCTATAATCCAAAATTAGCTGTCCTATGTACTTCGAACATTTGTAGAGAATCAGTGCCTGAGGTCTTAAGGAGAATTTCCTAAAGATTTTTTTTCTAATTTACTTTGACTTAAAAGATAGGCAGGGCTTCTACCTTGTTGGATTTCTTTTGTATCCATTTTGGCTCATTAAGAATAAAATATACTCTTTTACAATGACCTTCTAAATCATATAGGATTTAGAACCTTAAAACTGTTGTGCACATTCAGGAATTACTGGGCTATTCCTCAAAGAAACAAACACTGCAATACTGTTGCCCAGGACCACCCCAAAAGGAGGAAGAGCCTGCTACAAGGGTCTCAGTACTTTGAAACGTCATGATGGCTAAAGGAGATGGAAAAGGGGACAGCAGTGGAAACAGCGTATCATGGACCAAATCAAGAATCCAGAGCCACTCACCCCACATAGAAACACATGCCCAAGTTGCAGTAGAACCTGCTGATCCCAGATTGGCCTTGTCAGCCATCTTTGGACCCACAAATAAGTCAATCATGGAAGACAGTCATCCTCAATTGCAAGGGATTGCTGCTGCTGGCTGTCACATGTTGAAGATTTTAAGTTTAAACCTTATATCCTTAAAGTTTAGACTTGGTGGGCTTTGTCTTTAACATAACACTAGGAAACCGAATTACAATGCATTCCATTTATTCGGTCTTGAATTATAGTTACAGTCCATATGTTCCTTGACTTCAATTGCACTTTTGTATAAACAAGAAAGTGAAATTGGTTCATGAATTTATTGTGTGAACTCTTCCTTGACACCAGTGAAGAACATGATTCTGTGCTTCTTAATCTACACTTGAAGACTTAATGAACTTAATCCCTTGAAGATTAATACAGGTAGATGAGGTCAGGGAGCATGTTCTCCATGGTATTTTCTGTGACTCATTGCCCCAGAGGCAAGAAAGTCCTGAGAAAGTGGGAACAGCACACATCCTTATGGCAAAGGAAGCAGTTCCCTTCCATTGCTACAGAAGACACAGATTTACGTCTGCTGTGCACCTCCGCTCAACAGTTATGCCAGTAGAGCGGGTGTGTAAATGCTCTATCAGTATCAATGGACGTCTGAGTGGAAAACATTCTGCACTTGTCTGGCACAGAAGTACGTAGCTACATGTGGTTCAAGGCAGTGGAGAATCAGGCTTCATGAATTTGGAGGATGTATGTTTATCTATTTATTTTTTTTAGCTTTATATCCCATCCTATCTAAAAGACTCAGAGCGGTGACACGTGATTCGTGCCTGTTCAAAAAAGAAGAAAGGCCTCTAGTCACTATTGGTTTCCCTAACTCTGACTCTAGGCCTACAGATTTAATATTTGAGCTAACTATGTCACGGTGTTGCATAGCCCTACAGCATGTATTTGTAATCACTAATGAGAGAAATGCACTAATGAGAGAAATGCACCTTCAGTATACAATGGTGTTTTATGACAGCTGATTTATTTTGAATAAGAAATTGGCATGGATTGCAATAACTTTAATATAGTCCCTTTCACAGCTTTTCAGCCAAAGTCCTGTCTGAAACCAAGTCCGACTTGGGTTCCTGCTTCACCTACACTTTACACTGTTTGCAATAGCTACAGAATATAAAATGAGGCTGCACAGGAAGCTTGCTAATAAGCCATGAAATACTTGGGGAGAATCAGTAGGGGAATACATTGAGGATATTTCTAGTTACACTACCTTGAAAAGTGTCATAGAGTTCATGATGTTGTGAGATGCTGGATGGTTAATGCTCCAGGCAAAACAGGAGCAAGTGTCCCAGTAAGCAAAGTTAAAAACAGCTGTCTTATTGTCAAAGTCACCTACTGGGTCTTTGTGAGACCTTCAGCTACTTCTCCCAAATGCTGTATGATATTCAGCAAGTTGATTTTAAACAACCTGTTCTTTTGGCTGCCTAAGGTATCAGACAGTCTCAATTCATCAGTACATTAGGCAGACCAGATGATTTAGCAATTAGGGCAATTGCTAGGACTCAGGATATCTAGTGTCAGTAAACTAGGGAGAGTTCCCCTTCT